TATTTATCTTTTTTATTCACCCTGCATTCTGCAATATCTAATTTTTGGGTTGTATTTTTTTTACAAAATTGAATATACATTGAATCTTTTACTGATTTCGTGTTTGGTTTTATACAATCTGATTTTAGGTTTGTATTTTATACATTGAATGATTGAATGAGGCCACTAATTTTATATACATTGATTCATTGATTGTGATGGTTTGTATTTTTACATTGAATGAATTATTGAAGATTTGTATTTTATACATTGAACACACAATAGGGAAGATTTGTCTTTTATGAATGGTGATGAAGCCACTGATTTTTGGTTTGTATTTTATACATTGAATGACATGAATATACCCTCTTTACGAGGGCAGTACCTTGGTGACATCTTTGCTTGATCTATTGTATTTCATCTGACTTTTTACAAGTTGTCCTATTACTATAGCAGCCTTTAGAGATAGCTCGCTAGCACCCTTGAATTTGAGTCTCGTGACTCCTTGCTCGCACCCTTCACTTCTAGTAGGTTTAGGATTGATACATAGTCGAAGACTTGGAGTTTGAATTTAAATAGAGATATTTTTCTCTACTTAACTTTACAAGTTGTATTAGAAATTTGAGCTTTTGACCCATATCAAAGCTTTTTTAAAAAAAATTCTCAATTAAGGGTTGGTTTGAAAATAATTCCCAAATCCAAGGAGTTTTAAAAACGTCATTTGGTTTGACATTTTTAAGCCAAAATAAGTCAGTTGGTCTAACATTTTTAGCTTAAAAATGTTAGACCAAATGACATATTTAAACTTGTTATGTGACCAATATGGAGTTTAAAGACGTCAGACTAATTGACACTACTAAGTACAAACGTCAGTTGCACTGACGTGTTTAACAACTCAAACCTGCTGATCCCTTTTCCCTTCTCTCTTATTTCCTTTCCTTATTTTCTCTTCTTCCCCCGAAATACCATTTGAGCCCTAACTCACTTAGGCAAACCACCACCACGCAGCACCACCCAATGCGAGTGGGATGTTTTTGCTGAAATTCCGATGATTATTTATGGAGTTCCTTCATTGTCTTATTTTGTGATGTTTGAGTCTGAGAACAGTTCGATATGTTTGGCAAAGTTTATGTGTGGAGAGGCTATTAGGATTTTGCCAAGGTGTAAGCACATGTTTCATAGAGAGTTTATTGATCAGTGGATGCCATTAAGGTCTTCTTGTTGTCCTGTTTGTAGAGACCCAACAATTGTTTGGGTGGTTATTTAGTATTTGTTTATTTTTTGGTTAGGTTTTTATTTATTTATTGTGTGTGTGTGTTTGGGGGGGGGTTAGTGGTTAGTTCACAGTTTTGGGGCCAATTCTGTTTTGTTTCATTCACTTGATTATGAAGAAATTTATGTCATCACACAATTTTGCAAATAGAATTACAGGCTTGCAACTTGCTGTTTATTTACAGCATTTTGTACTTAACCAATTTTTTTGCTTCTACCCCAATTTCCTGTAATGTTGTTGAGGTTGAAAGCAGTTCACATGATCCACAACAAACTGCATTTTTGAGAGTTCTTTTTTTTCCATAACAAGGCAGTGTTACATTGGATTCATCCTTGTACAGCAAATCTTAGATACTTTCCGTTACTGTTAATTATAAATATTACTTAAACACGAGAATACCCAAAAAGAATTGAACTTATGACATCCAAATTTATGGTTGATCTCAAGTCCCAACTTCACAACACTAGGCTACCCTTGCAGATTGATTGTGAGAGTTCTTGTCAGTTGGCAATATAGCCATGAGACTTTTTGAGCTACTAATGTTATTGATGACTGTTTTTGTCAGTAAATGCTCCAACTTACACTATTGGCAGCCAAATAATGTACAAGTTGTCCATTACAACACAAATGTGTTACCAGATTCAAAGTTTTCATTCTCCTCCATGTCCTCTGAGCAATCAAACAGAGAGTTATGTTTTTTTTTGACAGGGAAGCAGAGGTAGGCTAATCAAGCTGAGATCTGTTGAACTTATCATTGTACACTTTTGTTTCATCCTTTGTTCAGCAATCCCGTTTGGGTTTACTTTGGTTCATGTAATAGATTAAGCGATCAGGCTCTTGCTTATTCATGAATCCTTATCCCACACTGCTTCTCCAAAACAATTTCCAACTATATTCTCTTCGCGGGACTCTCTCAAGACACTCATTCTCAAGTGACTAGCCCCATTGAAAAGGCCTATTGACTGATCTAACAAGTTGAATCGTTTAAGAGATTAAGGGAAGAGTGTCTGTGTGAATCATTCCCGAACAAGTGATTCCTTTCGAAATCGTCCATCAATTCATATTCATACGGGGCCAAAACAGATTGATGGTTCCTCAATAATTCATATTTGAGGCATTCCATCCCCCTCAAATGTTTTCTCCTCTGGTTTACATTGCATAAAAGATTGATTGTTCCTTGGCTAGATCCAAAATATGGATTTGATATCTCATGCATAAACTAAGCCTTCAATAAATTTGAACCTACAAGCACATGTGGCCAAAACAGTAAAAAAATGTGACCAGAGAATCAAAGAACCAACCATGTTGAAGTTTAACAATAATCATTTCCTTTCAACTTAACCATGACTCATCTTCCTTTCTCAAGCGAAATTGTTGCTCTTCCTTTCTAATATCTAAACCAAATTGTTAAGAGGAAAGTGAACAACTTAGAAAAAGCGCCTACACAAATTTCACATAGAAGAAGTGACTTGAAAGATCCACATCTAGAAGCATTATGATCTCTTGCTTTATTACTTCATGACAGCCAACAACTTGAACTACTACACCAATGAAAATTTTGAATAGCGTTGTTACGAGCAATATCAAGAGCTCTTGCTGAATTTACGGCCAGACAATTTCTCAGACTTATACAATATGTGGTTTATGAGTCCCTCACCGCATTGCAAACCCATAAAACATACAAATTAGAATTTCAAAAATACTTTTGTGATCACAAGATACAGTGCATTTGACACACTTAAATTGGTTCTCTTACAGTGCACTGAAATTGATCATCAATTATTAAACTAAAATAACGCTTTTGTCATGAAGATCTACGGAAAAAGAGAAAAATCATTAGGCAATTAATTTATTTTTTTTGAAATTTATAAAACAGTATAATAAAATGATAACTTCCGCAATTTTAAGGAATTACTAGTAAGAGAACAAACCAACCCTACTATCACCCATGATACAAATATATATGTGAGATGAGATACGAAGAGAAAGACATAGTTTAGGTTGGACAGTTACCTAACTCAATAATACAATCAATAATCTACTCAACTCAGTTACCCAACTCAATAATCAATAATCTACTTAATACCTAATTCAATAACACAATCAATAATTTACTCAATACACAAAACACCTCTTCGTTACATCAATTACAGTCCATACAAAGGATGAAAAATTGCAAAAGAGAACTCGTCCAAAATATGAAAAGGCGTAACACTGATAGATGCTTAGACTTTAGACTGTAAATAATATAGTTTAAAGCTTAACATAAAATTTGACCCAGTGAACAATGCATCTAAACCTTAGTAACCATGGCTATTATATAATATTTTTATCACCCTAATGTTTGTTTAAGAAATTTTCGAAACCCAAGCATTTCTACAGCCTGATGGAACATATCCGAAGGTAAGATTTTAAGGCCTCCATCAATTACTTTTGCTCTGCTATCGATCTTTCCTTCTTACCTCTATTCTATTTTGAACAACCTTTCAATTGACTAAAAACTGGAAAGAGTGGCAGTTACCTAGAAATGTAGATCACCGCTATTAACTAATAGTATCATGCCAACCTTGCCAATTTTCTTTTTTGGAACAATAATCTATAATCTACTCAATATCCAATTCAATAACCAACCCAATAATCAATAATCAATAATCTGTAATCTACTCAATACCCAATTCAATAATCAACTCAATTCAATAATTAATAATCTACTCAATACCCATCTCAATAACTCAATCAATAGTCAACTAAATTCAATAATAAATATTTTCATAGAATTTCAATATTTCAATTATTTCATATAATTTCAATATTTTTCATTAAATAATCTAAAAATTCTCATAAGATGTGGTGGATGATGTCAACGGTGGAATGGAGGCTGATGGTGGTGCTTGGATTTGGGGCTTCGATGGTTGGGTAGCGGTGGTTGGGGCTGGGTGGTCGCGGGTGGGGCTGGGTGGTCGCGAGTGGTGGTGGTTTTGCGATGGTGGAGCTTCGAGGGTTAGCTACTAATTAAGAATGTCTGCTATGGGGGTGCTGATTGAAAATGTTGCCTGAGTTAGGGCTCAAATGGGGGGAAGAAGAGAAAACAAGGGAAAGGAAAGAAGAGGAGGGGAGGGAAAAATGGGGTGCAAGTTTTTGAGTTAAAAACGTCAGTATGTACTGACGTTTTTAAGGATTTTTTTTTTGTAGTCTACAATTTTAAAAACGTCATTTGAACTGACGTTTTTAGGCCAAAAACGTCAGACCAACTGACGTATTTAATATAAAAACGTCAGTCTATTTGACATTTCTAAAAATGACCTGGGTTTGAGAATTATTTTCAAACTAATCTTTAGTTGGGAATTTTTTTTCAAAAAGCCTCGAGATGGGTCAAAAGCTCTTAGAAATTTAATGCATTGGATATATGTTTGAGGATTTTTGTGTACTTTAAATGTTTGATGTTATTTTCTAATTATTGTATTTTTTAGTCTATTTATTATTTTTTTTATTATATGACCTTTTCAACCAGTGATCAAACGGTTGAACCAGTTCTTTTGTCGGGTTGATGTTCGGTGTGAGTTTTAAAACTATGGTCAAAACAATTAATAAAACGGGATAACATGACTGGATTGAAATTCGATTAAAACTTTATAAATCTGATTGTTGCAATAAAAACTTCACGAATTAAATAGAAATTGAGTACATTTTTTAAGGCCCTTTTTTTTTTTTAAGTAATTCTAAATATTTTTTTGGGCGTATGGAAATTAGGGTCCTAGCGACGGTCTTAATGTCATATGCCTAGGCCGGCGCTGAGGGAGAGACAGAGGGGCCGGCGTTGAAAGAGAGAGACAGAGAGAGAGATGAAAGAAATACAGTTGTCGTTGAATCAAACGCAGAAGCTGAGGCTAGAGAGGGCATTGGAGCGGTTGGAATCATTGTCGTCGAAGGCAAACCCTAATGCTTCCGTCACCGTCGCCGACACTATCCCCGTCAACTATGAAGACGGAGTTCTCAAGTAACCCCCCTATTAACCGCTCTCTTCTCATCGTTTTGTATTATTTCTTAAAACCTTATCTACTGTATCGAAGTACTTTTGATTGTTTGAATGCAGGGGGCACGGGACGTCCGAGCTTGATGACCAAGTGGTTGCGACGTTGTGTGGAGTGGTTGAGCGTGTCAACAAGCTCGTCTACGTTCGTGCTTTGAGGGCCAGGTAATTGGTAGACATTGATTGTACTAACTTTTGATACAAAATGGTGACTTATTTCTAGAATCCAACCATTGTTGGTATAAGCCTGAAGTTGGGGATATCATAGTAGGCCGCGTTATTGAGGTAAACAATTAATCTTATATCTCATGAGTCGGTAAAACCTTTGTTATTATCTAATTTTTTTCATAGGTTTCTAAAAGGGTTACTCAATCATGGAAGGTAAAGCAGGTTCATGGCAGGTCTTAATGGATTTATGTCAAAAAATAATCTAGTTATATCTGATTTATTTATTAATTCGTATCTAACAAATAATTTCATATGGGATTGTGTCGTGTATAAATAATGCATAACTTGTGTATAATTGGTATATAAACCCGTCGTGTATCAATGGTGTATAACTAGTATATAAACGTGTCGTGTCATTATATTTCTTTTGATTGGCTTCATTTATAATCGATTATTTTATCAATCGTGTCGTGTCGAGTCCATTCGTTTACGAAACGAGTGTCTTAAAGATAACCCAAACCTTCTAATTTTGTGACATGTTCGAGTCGTATTAACTAATCGTATCATATTTTGACACCACTAGGTTACTAGGTTACTGGAAACTCGATCAGTTACCCTATTTAATTAGTGAATTAATTGACTTGATCTTTGATTCTTTTTGTCAATCTAAGGTTGCTCCCAAGCGCTGGAGATTGGAGATAAATTTTAGCCAAGATGCAGTATTGATGCTTTCTTCAATGAACTTGCCGGATGGCGTCCAGGTATGTATCTTCCTCCATTGAACATAATCCTCTTAAAGCTGTCAACTTTTTTCTTGGTTACAACTTACAAGTTAAGAATTTTATTGCAAGTTCTCTATGTGGCTTACAAAACTGCAGTTTAGTTAGAATAGACAATTCATTTGACAAAAACTCGATGTGCAGAGTTTAATTTTTTGTTAAAAGGATGCTGATTCTTAAAATGTACTTGGAAAGAAGGAAAAACAATCTCTCATTAGCAGGCTTGAGTTTTTCTCCCGCTATCAGCTTAGTCCAGAGCAAAATCTTGAAGCTCTACACCAGACTATTCTGTCTAGCATCTTGTTTAATCCATACCTATTGGCTTGCATTATGCTTATCTCTTTGAAAAACTGAACTTGCTACTCACTTTCCTTCTTAAGTTGGTTTGCTATTCATTTTTTAATCTTTATTTTTCATTTGCTAGAGGCGGCGAACTGCAGTTGATGAACTCAACATGTGCACCATTTTTGAAGAGAATGATGTTATTTGTGTAAGTTCTCTGGCTCTAGCAGTTTTTGAGGAAGTACCATGGTCTTTTATTTTGGTTGATTTCTTTGACCAAATAATCAAATGAAAATGCCGCAAGGTGCAGGCTGATGTTGTTATTTTAAGGTTACTTTGTCTTGGGTTCTAAAATCAATTCTTGTCCTACATTCAATGTCCCCTTTTCTTCTTTTGGACCCCATGCTGGGAGTGGTGACTCGTAATAATATGGGTGGTAGCCAAACAACAGGAATTTCTAAAATTCTGTGGCAATATCTTTCTTCAGGCTGAAGTTCGTGGTTTTCAGCATGATGGCAGCTTACACCTGCAAGCAAGAAGCCAAAAGTATGGAAAGGTGTGTCTAGTCATTATATATCTTACTCTTGTAAGCTATGAAGCACAGATATCTCGACAAGGTCAACGTACCTGCGTCGGATACTGTATCGGCTACGATACTTGTCGGATAATCAATGATACGTATTGGATATGCATCATCCGTATTCAAAAATTAATAAAATATGTGGATACTTCGCTGATACTTTTAAACATGAAGCAAGATGTATAATTTTCAATTTTAAGATATACCCCTTCTTTGGAGTTTACATATAATATAAAACATCAATAAAATTTCATTTGATTTTGAAGACACGAGTGTTTTTTAAGTATTATCTATTATTACATGTTAAAAGAGTATAAAAAAAATGAGTCACTTATACTATGCTTTTAAAAATAAATACTTGTAAAACCAATTAGTTAAATGTGGTTATAATTTCTTCAATTGGTCATGCTCATTTTATGAACATATCATAATGAAACAATATTGCATTCTTTTCATGGTAAAAATTCCTAATTTTACTTACTAATATTAAAGAATTATTGAAAAATTGTAATTTCTAAGTCGTTAAATAATAGTAAAATATAAAATATATTTTATTATAAACGTATCATGATCGTATCCGTATCTTGTTTTTTTAAGTTTTGCCGTATCCGTATCGTATCGTACCCGTGTCATGTATCCGTATCCGTATCCGTGCTTCCTAGCTTGTAAACTGTGTATTTTCTTTGTATGAAGATACTTCATGTTTTAAAACGATGAACCAAAAGGAACTTGAATCAGAAGACTGAAGTTCCACAAATTTATTTGAATAAATTCCATTTTAATATATGATGGAGTACACCACTTGCCACCTATTATAATGATCTCAGCTGCTCACTGCTGATATGATAGAAGTACAATTATTAGCAGTCTTTAGTGGAACCATGCTGTCCATTCTAACAAAATCAACAAAAACAATGGAACTATGCTGTGAGTTTCTGGTTGTTTCTCCTAGCTTTGTAGCAGTATTACATTAGGGTCGCTCTGATTGATGATCTCGTCATCCTTATTAGTCTTATCTAACATAAAAGACTTTCATTACAGCTTGAGAGAGGTCAGTTGCTCACAATTTCCCCCTATCTGGTGAAGAGGCAGAAACAACATTTCCACCACCTAGAGGAGTGTGGAATTGACTTGGTACTTGGATGTAACGGGTTCATCTGGGTTGGTGAACATGTTGAAAGTAAAGATGACGCGGTAGAGGACCAAGCAAACAAATCTGAGCAACAGAATTCCAAATCAACAAGTTCAACAAATCTTGAAGAACGAGAACAAACTTGCACACAACTGGAGATTAGGCAAAATATATGCAGGATGGCAAATGCAGTCAGAGTATTGTCCAATTTGGGCTTCAATATTACTGTAGAAGTGATCATGGAGACTGTTAACTTGAGTAGCTCTCTGAATCTTGATATACATGAGATGCTTGGAGCAGAGTTCTGTGTTCTGACTGCCGAGAGAGAAGCAGAACGTCGAAGCATGTTGACGCAAAAGAAGGGGTAATCCTGTCATGTTCACATAGCATCAGATTTTTTTTTTTTTTATAATTATTTTGTTGTATTGTATCGTCCGATGCTACATACAAGCAGTTTCTTTAGGCAGTGCTGTTCATTTGCCACCCTTGTAAGAACAGCTATTTCTAAGTCTCTTCAACATCGAAGTTTCAAAAAGAGGGTTTAATCCTATTTAGCGCTAATATGATAAGAAATTAAAGTTTGAAAGTAGACGACTATCAAAGGAAAGTCTCTGGAGAATGTTATCCTGAGATAATTAAGATGCATACTGTGCATCCAAACTCTTGAACACTGGATTGGGACTCGAATTGGTGTGGCTCTCTTGGGCGGTTAACAGACTGAGGGACACGGTTGTTCACATCTGCAAAAAATTCAGGCAAATTGGATTCTAAAGAAGAGGACTTGATGAAGAACCTTGGCAAAACTGTCAATGAAAGTTACCTTGGAGCTGCTACATTGATGGCAATTGCAGTGCTAAGGTTTGCACGAGTGCAAGCTTCAATTATTGAACTCATTTGAATACCTAGGATGTGGAAAAATTATGAAGGGATGATGGGAGTAAATCTAAATGTTCTATCTGGATTAGTTATGTTTAGATGACTTGGGGTCAGTAGGCTCATGGTGAAGTTGAAAGTGGATTGGTTGAAGTGTGGACTAAACAAATTGACATTCCTAATATACTCGCTCGAGCTTGACCTTCTGATAGCCTGTCATTGCCAAGTAAGTTTTGTGGAGCCAATGTCATGTAATTGGAACTTGCATTAATGGACTAGAAGCATTAATGGACTGGAAGACTACAGGTGATGTGTGAAACAAAAATCATGTAAGGTGAAAAAAGGTACTTGTGCATATAAAAATTGTGGCTTATTTTTACTAGTATTTATTGGATTAATTGCTAGTTCATTTAACTGGCAAAAGAAAGAAAGGTGAAACTTTAAGGATAGATCAAGTGGTAATAAAAATGAATTGTACATTCAGTCGTCTTGAATTCGAATCTTGGTAACCTCTTGAGGTCCGTTTATGAGAGATTTATCCCTCGTGAATATCATAATTCTTAGCATAAATGACCTTCCTTTCATTGAAACATGAGAAGAATTAGAAGAGGTGTGTGTAAACATATCCGAATACTCCTAACCATTAAACCCCAAAAATAAAAAAAAAAACAGAAAGGTGGGAACTTAAATACTTAAATTGGCACATTTAATGGCTTGTCAACATTCCAGCCACATTTGATTTGCTTCAATATTAGATTCTCAATTCCCTCAATGAAATTCCATTCACTTCAGTATTAAATTCTCAATTCCCCCAATGTTCAATTGACAATGATGAATGGAAGTGTGGCCTATTGTGTTCAAGTTGGTCGAGTGAGTGAGTTACTTACCAGGGAATCTAGTAATTAGAGTAGACATCAGAATCTTTAATGAACCAAAATACATATTTAAGATGAGGTTAATGGTTGGCTAAATTTCGTCATTTCACACACAAGTAATAGTGCCTGACCCAAAAGAAGCAAAGCAGAAGGTAGATTTCTAGCAAAAATTATTGCCTGTAATGTGTGTTGGCAACATCTTGAAACCAGTCAAACACCAGGACTGCTTACCTAGAAAATTATTCATGAATGATACAGATGAACAAATCCAAAAATAATCACATATATTTTGACCAAATTCTGCACCACAGAAAGAGCATTGAGAAGTTCTCTTTTCCGTTCAGCAATTACACACGGTAATGCAGCATTTGCTTCCAAGATACAACGATTGGGTCTTTGGTTCTCACCCCTCCCATTTTGGGAAAAAAAAACAGATAGAAAAAGCCTCTCAAAGTTCCAGTTGCCAGTATAACTCAGCTAAGTACTTTGGAAACTACCCCTGCACCAACTGTTCTACCTCCCTCCCTCGAGCCAAATCTTTGTTCTGTAGATAACAAAGAATAACTTTAGGTCTACATACTTTCTGAGTTTCATACAGACAAATCTACTACAAATCTCATAAATGAAACATAGATGAGACTATAATGTAAATTCAGACAAACTACAAAGTGACAAGACGAGAAAACAACAGGAGTGTATGTATAATGTTTTGTGTTTCTGTGTGCATTCGGGTTGAAGCTTCAACTAAATCAGATGAAAATGAAAAGAAATGCACTGCACCAAATTAATAAGTGTCTGTAGACAAAATTGATAGATAAGACATAGCATTATCATTTTCTCTACCCTCCCCCTTCACTAGTCTCTTTGACTCCAAAACACCCAACAAACTTAGGGAGTAGCCACTCCAATGCACTCCCTTAGGTATCATCCAGAACTAGTGACTTTCAGTCTCAAATGATCCACATCAACCTTATAACAGTAGCATAATAGTTATATTCACCAGACCACCGCATTCAAAATGAACACTTCGACGTACAAAAAGTGGGTATACTCTTTAAGCAAAAGCAAAACTAGATTACTGAATTCAATCAATATCACTAGCAAGTCAGAATAGGAGTAAATTAAGAGCTCACTAAAATTTCCCCTTCTACCCCTCCTAACAGACATGTTTTGGTTCAATAAAGCTGGGCCAGAGAGAGAAAGAGAGAGAGCTGATGAAGGAAGGTTGTCCTCAAACCCTATGATGAAAACCAAAAAGTAATGCACGGAGAATCTTCTCAAGGAAATCTAAAAGCGGTTTTTATGTCAGTTCATTGAAAAATATTATTTCCCAGAAGCAGCAGCTACCTAAAAGATCACACAATCTCTGTACTCCAGCAAAAGGGCCAAAATAAATGGTTATTCTTCAGAAATGTTGTATTTACAAAAAGATACACATCCAAACATTTTATTGGTCATCAAGATTCTAAAATAGTATGTATAATGCCATCATTATGAGGGGAAAATTTAAAAATTTTAAAGAACATAGTCATGAAGTTATAACAGTTATTTTCATTTTCTTTCGGAAAAGGATGTCTCTACTCACCAGCTTCAAGAGGACTGAGTAAATCAACTCAAACACAGCAGTCACATTGTCTCCAGGCATCATAACCATCTTAACATTTTCAGGTAACTCCACTTTACCAGTAATATCTGCAGGTCGCATACAGAACTGAGGCCTGTAATTTGAGAAAAAGGCAGTATGGCGTCCACCTTCATCTTTTGTGAGGACATATATCTCTGCCTCAAACCTCTTGTATGTTTTCAAAGAACCAGGCTTCGCAATCACCTGTTCAAAAATAAGACAGCAGCAGATAATGAAGTTACAGCCTTCCAAGGCTTATTTCACTATTTAATACTAAAACCAGATTTCAGTTTCTTCTTATTTTACCGCAGATGAACAGAAACTCCTATGTATCCCTAACAATAAAAGAATATTCTAAATATAGTCTGTGAGAAAGGAATGCCTGATCTAACAAAAAGAACAGACATGATTTTGCTTCCAACTTTCAAGCATATGGAAAGTCACTCAAGTTCTCATATTTGGAATTTCCTTAAACTGACTAAAAGATTTACAAGATGGGTTTTACTCTACATACTGTTACTGGTTCCAGCATATAGTACTGTGCAGATTCAGTTCCTCAGTTTACCTGTCCTCGCTGCACATCGTCCCGCTTTAAGCCACGTAGAAGCAGACCGACATTGTTGCCCGCCTAGTAAAATGTTAAAGATTGCAATCAGTTCCAAACATAAGAATTAGTAGCTTGAACAGTTTAACATTAACTCACTTACCTGTCCAAAATCCAAGATTTTCTTGAACATCTCAACACCAGTTGCTGAAGATTTCAGAGTTCCCTACAGAGGATAGATATCTCAATGTTAGAAGCAATCATTCATAATAAAGTTAGACAAGGATCTTCAGAAAACAATCACTATAAAATAAATGCATCACATTTCATCACTAGTGACTTCTTACATTCCTTGTGGAACAAAATCGTCAGCTCAAAGAATTCATGACATTCTCATTAACTAGAAAGAATTACAAAATCATGCTCTGCAAAAAGTTGATTACCAAAACTAATTTTATATATTCTCCTGCATCAATCCCAAACTCTCAACTTCCTCCCCAACTTTAATTGTCCCTTGTTCCACACGGCCAGTGGCAACAGTTCCGCACGGCCAGTGGCAACAGTTCCACGTCCCTCCAAAACACATTCAAAGTAATCAGAGCTATGTGGTCACTACTTTCTTAAAAAAAATGAAAACACTATTGCAGCGATATCAGATTCATTTTAAAGATACACTAAAGATTAAAGAAATGCTCCATCATTAGGCAACAGGGTTATTTCCTCAACAGATATAATGCAAATAGGCAAAATATTACCTGAATTGAAAAAACATCTTTAATTGGCATCAAGAAAGGATTGTCAAGCTGGCGTACAGGATCAGGAATGTGTGCATCTACTGCATCCATTAGTTTTAAAATAGCCCTTTTCCCTATTTCTTCATTTGTACCCTGTAAAGCGAACAAAGCTGAACCTCAATGATGGGATGTCATCTCCAGGAAACTTGTAGAAGTTAAGATGCTCTGCAATAATTATAAGCTCAAGTGAAACAATATTGAGTGAGTTATAGTACTGTTTAACCCAGCCCTTGATGTGCATGAGCGCAATTAACTAAAAAGCCAGATTACCTCGGAGTTCCATTTCCACAAGTTCCGGTAACTCAGGATCATCAACAACATAAACTTTATTCAAAAAACACACAAGTGATGGCACACCAAGCTATGTCATGCAGGAAAGGAAGAACCTTATATATGATTATGGTCTCATAACGTAAATATTTGATGGAAAAGATTAACTATTTGGTTGGAAAAAATTGGTAAATGTGATAAATTGTTAAAGAATTGATGCTATGTTAATAAAGGATGAATTGTGTTTATTTTGCAGTAAAATGTCTGAAGATTGGAGAAAATAAAGCAACAAGAGAAGCATAGCTGAAAAGAAACTTACTGGAAGGCGCGTCCGGACGGTGGAATGCATTCCGTCTGGACGTGAGTGACAGAAGGTGAAGGCTGAAGAAAAAGAACACAGCAAGGTGCGTTTGGACGGAAGGGAACACACGTTCGGATGAGTGTCGCCAATTCGCCAACGCCAATAGTAGAATTTTAATTCAATTAGATCTTTTCCCAAATCTATTATATAAAGTAGCTTACAATTCAAATTTCAAAAGATAAATGACTTTTGCTATTCGCGGTTGAGATCGCTTTTAATTTTACTTTCAAGTTAATCTAACGGCTAATATTAACACCCTAAATTTAATAGAAAAAATAGGCCCGTAAGGGTGCATTTGGAGTTACTTGTTAAAAGTATTTTTAAAAATTATTACTCATAAATAATTTAAAAAAAATAGTGTTTGAAACTGCCCCACCACTACTTCTACCACCGCCACCGCTACCGCCACCACCGTCGCTGCCACCACCACTGTCG